ATGTCTACTGTAAGTTGGATAGTCCGGATTGTCATTGGTGTTTACTGACTGATACAGACTGATACAGACTGATACTGACTGATACAGACTGATACAGACTGATACAGACTGTGATACAGACTGATACAGACTGATACTGACTGATACAGACTGATACAGACTGATACAGACTGTGATACAGACTGATACAGACTGATACTGACTGATACAGACTGATACAGACTGATACAGACTGTGATACAGACTGATACAGACTGATACTGACTGATACAGACTGATACTGACTGATACAGACTGATACTGACTGATACAGACTGATACTGACTGATACAGACTGATACTGACTGATACAGACTGATACTGACTGATACTGACTGATACAGACTGATACAGACTGACACAGACTGACACAGACTGATACAGACTGATACTGACTGATACAGACTGATACTGACTGATACAGACTGATACTGACTGATACAGACTGATACTGACTGATACAGACTGATACTGACTGATACAGACTGATACAGACTGACACAGACTGACACAGACTGATACAGACTGATACAGACTGATACAGACTGATACAGACTGATACAGACTGATACAGACTGATACAGACTGATACAGACTGACACAGACTGATACAGGCTGACACAGACTGATACAGACTGATACAGACTGATACAGACTGACACAGACTGACACAGACTGATACAGACTGATACAGACTGATACAGACTGTGATACAGACTGATACAGACTGATACAGACTGAGATACGGACTGTGATACAGACTGATACAGACTGATACAGACTGACACAGACTGATACAGACTGACACAGACTGATACAGACTCATACAGACTGATACAGACTGACACAGACTGACACAGACTGATACAGACTGATACAGACTGTGATACAGACTGATACAGACTGTGATACAGACTGATACAGACTGATGCAGACTGATGCAGACTGATACAGACTGATACAGACTGATACAGACTGATACAGACTGTGATACAGACTGACACAGACTGTGATACAGACTGTGATACAGACTGACACAGACTGTGATACAGACTGTGATACAGACTGACACAGACTGTGATACAAACTGTGATACAGACTGACACAGACTGTGATACAGACTGTGATACAGACTGATACAGACTGTGATACAGACTGATACAGACTGTGATACAGACTGACACAGACTGACACAGACTGATACAGACTGATACAGACTGATACAGGCTGACACAGACTGATGCAGACTGATACAGACTGTGATACAGACTGTGATACAGACTGACACAGACTGTGATACAGACTGTGATACAGACTGACACAGACTGTGATACAGACTGTCATACAGACTGTGATACAGACTGTGATACAGACTGTGATACAGACTGTGATACAGACTGACACAGACTGTGATACAGACTGTCATACAGACTGTGATACAGACTGTGATACAGACTGACACAGACTGTGATACAGACTGACACAGACTGTGATACAGACTGTCATACAGACTGTGATACAGACTGTGATACAGACTGTGATACAGACTGACACAGACTGTGATACAGACACAGACTGTGATACAGACTGTGATACAGACTGTGATACAGACTGACACAGACTGTGATACAGACTGTCATACAGACTGTGATACAGACTGTGATACAGACTGATACAGACTGTGATACAGACTGTGATACAGACTGACACAGACTGTGATACAGACTGACACAGACTGACACAGACTGACACAGACTGATACAGACTGATACAGACTGTGATACAGACTGATACAGACTGTGATACAGGCTGACACAGACTGATGCAGACTGATACAGACTGACACAGACTGATACAGACTGATACAGACTGTGATACAGACTGATACAGACTGTGATACAGACTGACACAGACTGATGCAGACTGATACAGGCTGACACAGACTGATGCAGACTGATACAGACTGTGATACAGACTGTGATACAGACTGTGATACAGACTGTGATACAGACTGACACAGACTGTGATACAGACTGACACAGACTGACACAGACTGATACAGACTGATACAGACTGTGATACAGACTGATACAGACTGTGATACAGACTGATACAGACTGTGATACAGGCTTACACAGACTGATGCAGACTGACACAGACTGACACAGACTGTGACACAGACTGACACAGACTCATAGGTGCGTAGGGCGTAGGGGAAATGCATCAGTGGGAAACAGAAAGTAAAGAGTATGGATCTTTGTCTGGATTCTGCTGACGCTGTGTAAAATGCCACCTGCCCGTCGCCATGGAAACACATTAAAACCACACATTCCAGGGAGCTTCATTTTGACCAAACGGATGAATTGAAGTCGTTTCCACGGCAGCGAGGAGGCGAGAGCACATGGATAACTTCCTGTGCTGCTTCGTCTTCTCTTTCATTCTGCTTTGACTCATCAGGAACATTCAGGGCACGTTCTTTATGGAGTCTGAGCGAAAACTGCGGATCCTCGAGGGTTTCTCCGCTCACGGCCCTCGAGAGCAGCCAATCACAGCCGCGCTTCTCGAGAGCAGCCAATCAGAGCGTCCGAAACTCACTGAATCAACATGATTGACACGTGAGGTTCTCTTCAGGGTCAGAGTGTGTTCAGAGTGTGTTCAGAGTGTGTTCAGAGTGTGTGGTTCACTCCCTGTGTGTGTGTGTGTGTGTGTATGTGTCTGTCTCTGTGTGTGTGTGTGTGTGTGTCTGTGTGTGTGCGTGTCTGTCTGTCTCTGTGTGTGTCTGTCTGTGTGTGTGTCTGTGTGTGTGCGTGTCTGTCTGTCTCTGTGTGTGTCTGTCTGTGTGTGAGTCTGTGTGTGTGTGTGTGTGTGAGTCTGTGTGTCTGTGTTGTGTACCTGTGTGTGTGTGTGTGTGTGTGTGTATGTGTTGTACTGTATGTCTTTATGTCTGTGTGTGTGTGTATTTTTCTGTGTTGTGTGCCTGTGTGTCTGTACGTGTGTCTGTCTGTGTGTGTGTGTGTGTGTGTGTGTGTCTGTGTGTCTGTGTGAGTGTGTCTGTGCATGTCTGTGTGTGTGTCTGTGTGAGTGTGTCTGTGTTGTGTGTGAGTGCGTGTCTGTGTGTGTGTCTGTCTGTGTCTGTGTGTGAGTGTGTCTGTGTATGTGTCTGTGTTGTGTGTGAGTGCGTGTCTGTGTGTGTGTCTGTCTGTGTGTGTTCGCGTGTGTGTGTCTGTGTGTGTGTGTGTGTGTGTGTGTCTATGATTCTTCTTTCTTTGATGAACTTCCTTCAGCCGCAGATGAAGGAGCAAAGTCTGTTTATTTTCATTGATTTAGTAAATTAAAGAGCAGCTCCTCGAAATCGGTCGATGGTGAAAAAAATACTAAATGGTTGTTTCCTTTTGGCCCAAAATCAGGAAATGTGTCTGGACCGCACGAACCATATGTCTTTGTCTCTGGTAGATTACAGACGGATTATTCTGTAATCTAAGGCACCAGTGGATTATTGTCTTATATTTAGTTTTGTGTCTCAATATTGAGTTTACACAATGTACTTAAAGAACACATTCAGTTCAGCCATCTGCTCTCTCTGGTCTCTCTCTGGTCTCTCTCTGGTCTCTCTCTGGTCTCTCTCTGGTCTCTCTCTGGTCTCTCTCTGGTCTCTCTCTGGTCTCTCTCTGGTCTCTCTCTGGTCTCTCTCTGGTCTCTCTGTTCTCTCTCTGGTCTCTCTCTGTTCTCTCTCTGGTCTCTCTCTGGTCTCTCTCTGGTCTCTCTCTGGTCTCTCTCTGGTCTCTCTCTGGTCTCTCTCTGGTCTCTCTCTGGTCTCTCTCTGCTCTCTCTGCTCTCTCTCTGGTCTCTCTCTGGTCTCTCTCTGGTCTCTCTCTGGTCTCTCTCTGGTCTCTCTCTGGTCTCTCTCTGGTCTCTCTGGTCTCTCTCTGGTCTCTCTCTGGTCTCTCTCTGGTCTCTCTCTGCTCTCTCTGTTCTCTCTCTGGTCTCTCTCTGGTCTCTCTGTTCTCTCTGGTCTCTCTCTGTTCTCTCTCTGGTCTCTCTCTGGTCTCTCTCTGGTCTCTCTCTGGTCTCTCTCTGCTCTCTCTGCTCTCTCTCTGCTCTCTCTCAGGTCTCTCTCAGGTCTCTCTCTGTTTTCTCTCTGGTCTCTCTTGTCTCTCTCTGGTCTCTCTCTCTTGTCTCTTTCTGGTCTCTCTGGTGGAGCTTATTTGTTTATCACAGTTCAAAGGTCAAAGTGTGGAACTAAAGTTTAAAGTATTAAAATCCTTCAGTTGTTGCAGAACCAGAACTGTTTTCAGAGTCCCAGCAGGAGGCCAGTCCCTGTGCTCCTCAGAGTCCCAGCAGGAGGCCCGTCCCTGTGCTCCTCAGAGTCCCAGCAGGAGGCCCGTCCCTGTGCTCCTCAGAGTTCCAGCAGGAGGCCCGTCCCTGTGCTCCTCAGAGTCCCAGCAGGAGGCCCGTCCCTGTGCTCCTCAGAGTCCCAGCAGGAGGCCAGTCCCTGTGCTCCTCAGAGTCCCAGCAGGAGGCCAGTCCCTGTGCTAAGCTGAAGAACTCATGTGCTCGGGGGATTCTCGCCGTACTGCAGACTAGACCAGACTAAATTCACGTGGGCTACCCAGAAATTTCCCCCATAGAAAGATTATTAGTTAGAGTTTTTAAGCTTGTTTTAAGTATTTTTTTCATATTTTCAAATTTCTTGTTTAGATCATGTAAGTTTGTGATTCTTTTTTTTAAGGAAACATTTCTAAAAAATAGAAATAAGTAAATTATACTTTAATTGCATGTTTTAACTAGAATCAAGTCGTTTGGGGCAAGTTTTATTTTATCATTTTCAGAAATTTTAAGTCATATTTCCTTCTTCTATTAGCAGGTTATATATTTTTCTAAGCAGTTTTTTACGTATTTTCCCTTTTTTTTTGATGGATTTTTTTCTAGTTAGGACAGAGATGTCTGGGTGAATGTGGATCATGCAAGCCCCGGTGATCCAAGATGGCGCCCTATTCAAAGGACTAGGACTAGGACGAGGACCAGAACCAGAACCAGAACCAGGACCACGACCTTGAACAGGGCTTTAGCTTCCATAGAAAGTTAGTTTCCAAGCAACAGAAACAGCTCCATTTGGATCTGAGTTAAAGGCAGAATTCCTCAGATAAAAAATAAAAGATAATTCATCAAAATAACGACATCGAAAGAAACTAAAGATAGAAACAGAAAAGTCAGAGTCATGAGGAGCAGGAGGAGCATGAGGAGCATGAGGAGCATGAGGAGCATGAGGAGCAGGAGGAGCATGAGGAGCATGAGGAGGAGCAGGAGGAGCAAGAGGAGCAAGAGGAGCAAGAGGAGCAAGAGGAGCATGAGAAGCATGAGGAGCAGGAGGAGCAAGAGGAGCAGGAGGAGCAGGAGGAGCAAGAGGAGCAAGAGGAGCAGGAGGAGCAGAAAGAGCAGGAGGAACAGGAGGAGCAAGAGGAACAGGAGGAGCAGGAGGAACAGGAGGAGCAAGAGGAGCAAGAGGAACAGGAGGAGCAGGAGGAGCAAGAGGAGCAGGAGGAGCAGGAGGAGCAAGAGGAGCAGGATCAGGGTCCAGACCAAAGCACAGAGCAGAGGAAGTGTGTTCAGTGAAGCAGAAGCTACAGACAGCTCTACTTCAAAGATACCTCAGAGATACTTCGAAGATACTTCAGAGATACCTCAGACATACTTCAGAGATACCTCAGAGATACCTCAGAAATACTTCAGAGATACCTCAGAGATACCTCAGAGATACTTCAGAGATACCTCAGAGATACTTCAGAGATACCTCAGAGATACCTCAGAGATACCTCAGAGATACTTCGAAGATACTTCGAAGATACTTCAGAGATACTTCAGAGATACCTCAGAGATACTTCAGAGAGATACTTCAGAGAGATACTTCAGAGATACCTCAGAGATACTTCGAAGATACTCCAGAGATACCTCAGAGATACCTGTCATGTGGTGAGATGATGGAGGACTCAAAATGCAGGAATGCCAAAAAATAATTATTTAATGATAACAAAATAAAAGTCCAGGTCAAAACTCAAAAATCCAAAAACACAAGCAACCAGGAACAGGGCAGAACAGAACAGACAAACATGAACAACACAATGGACCAGCAGCATGTGGAGAGGAGCACAGGTACACACAGACACAGACACAGGTGAAACACATCAGGGCGGGGCAGACAAGCAAGACAGGGGCAAACAGGACAGGAAGTACAACCAAACCACAGAGAACAATGTCAAAATAAAACAAAAATACAACAATAAAACCCACACCATGACAATACCTCAGAGATACTTCAGAGATACCTCAGAGATACTTCAGAGAGATACTTCAGAGATACTTCAGACATACTTCAGAGATACCTCAGAGATACTTCAGAGATACTTCAGAGATACTTCAGAGATACCTCAGATATACTTCAAAGAGATACTTCAGAGATACTTCAGAGATACTTCAGAGAGATACTTCAGAGATACCTCAGAGATACTTCGAAGATACTTTGAAGATACTTCAGAGATACCTCAGAGATACTTCAGAGAGATACTTCAGAGATACTTCAGACATACTTCAGAGATACCTCAGAGATACTTCAGAGATACTTCAGAGATACCTCAGAGATACCTCAGAGATACTTCAGAGATACTTCAGAGATACTTCAGAGGTATCTCAGAAGTACCTTATTCTGTACCTGTGAGTCATCAGTCTCTGGTGTTTTAAGTGGTAGGGGAAACTGGAGCACCCAGAGGAAACCTACCTTCTGCTCCTATTGCTCCTCCTGCTCCTTCTGCTCCTATTGCTCCTCCTGCTCCTCCTGCTTCTCTTGCTCCTCCTGCTCCTCTTGCTCCTCCTACTCCTCCTGCTTCTCTTGCTCCTCCTGCTCCTCTTGCTCCTCCTACTCCTCCTGCTTCTCTTGCTCCTCCTGCTCCTCTTGCTCCTCCTACTCCTCCTGCTTCTCTTGCTCCTCCTGCTCCTCCTACTCATCCTGCTCCTCCTATTCCTCCTGCTCCTCTTGCTCCTCCTACTCCTCCTGCTTCTCTTGCTCCTCCTGCTCCTCTTGCTCCTCCTACTCCTCCTGCTTCTCTTGCTCCTCCTGCTCCTCCTACTCATCCTGCTCCTCCTATTCCTCCTGCTCCTCTTGATCCTCCTACTCCTCCTGCTTCTCTTGCTCCTCCTGCTCCTCCTACTCATCCTGCTCCTCCTCCTCCTCCTCCTGCTCCTCCTGCTCCTCCTGATGTTTGTTAACGTTGGAACGCAGGAATGCGTTCCAACCTTAGATTCTCTGATTTGTTGCTGAAGAATCTAAAACTTTGTGAAGTCCTCTGAGACTGCTGTGTTTAGAGATTTACACTTTTTCTCTCTTCTCGCTCAAACACACTTCACGACACTGTCCTCCCTTTTCACAAAACTCTAAACACATCTTCTCAAAAGCAAACTCTGACGCCACAAAACCTCTCAATGTCTGCAAACCTGTGAACACTACTGAGCCTCATTCACCACACTACAACACAACCACTGGAAACACAATTTTCAGAGTGTGAGATTGTTCTTTTTACAGTGTCACAACTCCCAGGATGCATTTGGGCAACACTTATTTATTCTCAAATATGTTTTGGGCATTTACTATAGATTTGTGCGTTTCATGAGAATTGTTACATAATGCAGAACATGAGTAACGCCATAGGATCCATGACGCACAATAGATACAACAGTACAGTAACAATGACGCACAATAGATACAACAGTACAGTAACAACTACACACAATAGATACAACAGTACAGTGACAATGACGCACAATAGATACAACAGTACAGTAACAATGACGCACAATAGATACAACAGTACAGTAACAATGACACACAATAGATACAACAGTACAGTGACAATGACACACAATAGATACAACAGCACAGTAACAACTACACACAATAGATACAACAGTACAGTAACAATGACGCACAATAGATACAACAGTACAGTAACAATGACACACAATAGATACAACAGTACAGTGACAATGACACACAATAGATACAACAGCACAGTAACAACTACACACAATAGATACAACAGTACAGTAACAACTACACTCAATAGATACAACAGTACAGTAACAACTACACACAATAGATACAACAGTACAGTAACAATGACGCACAATAGATACAACAGCACAGTGACAATGACACACAATAGATACAACAGTACAGTAACAATGACACACAATAGATACAACAGTACAGTAACAATGATGCACAATAGATACAACAGTACAGTAACAATGACGCACAATGGATACAACAGTACAGTAACAATGACACACAATAGATACAACAGTACAGTAACAATGACACACAATAGATACAACAGTACAGTAACAACTACACACAATAGATAGAACAGTACAGTAACAACTACACACAATAGATACAACAGTACAGTAACAATGACACACAATAGATACAACAGTACAGTAAGAAGTATGTTGTACAGTGTGTTGTACAGTGTGTCGTACAGTGTGTTGTACAGTGTGTTGTACAGTGTGTCGTACAGTGTGTTGTACAGTGTGTTGTACAGTGTGTTGTACAGTGTGTCGTACAGTGTGTTGTACAGTGTGTCGTACAGTGTGTTGTACAGTGTGTTGTACAGTGTGTTGTACAGTGTGTCGTACAGTGTGTTGTACAGTGTGTCGTACAGTGTGTTGTACAGTGTGTCGTACAGTGTGTCGTACAGTGTGTTGTACAGTGTGTCGTACAGTGTGTTGTACAGTGTGTCGTACAGTGTGTCGTACAGTGTGTTGTAGTGTGTTGTACAGTGTGTTGTACAGTGTGTCGTACAGTGTGTTGTACAGTGTGTCGTACAGTGTGTTGTACAGTGTGTCGTACAGTGTGTTGTACAGTGTGTTGTACAGTGTGTTGTACAGTGTGTCGTACAGTGTGTTGTACAGTGTGTCGTACAGTGTGTTGTACAGTGTGTCGTACAGTGTGTTGTACAGTGTGTCGTACAGTGTGTTGTACAGTGTGTCGTACAGTGTGTTGTACAGTGTGTTGTACAGTGTGTTGTACAGTGTGTCGTACAGTGTGTTGTACAGTGTGTCGTACAGTGTGTTGTACAGTGTGTCGTACAGTGTGTTGTACAGTGTGTCGTACAGTGTGTTGTACAGTGTGTCGTACAGTGTGTTGTACAGTGTGTCGTACAGTGTGTTGTACAGTGTGTCGTACAGTGTGTCGTACAGTGTGTTGTACAGTGTGTCGTACAGTGTGTCGTACAGTGTGTTGTACAGTGTGTCGTACAGTGTGTTGTACAGTGTGTTGTACAGTGTGTCGTACAGTGTGTTGTACAGTGTGTTGTACAGTGTGTCGTACAGTGTGTTGTACAGTGTGTTGACACTGACATCATCGGGCTGGGTCGGGCCACAGGACCTCATCAACATCACAGGCAATATTGTCCATAGCCAAACAACGCTCCTCTCCCTCTTTGACCTGCACCTCCTCCTCCTTAACCTGCTCCTCCTCCTCCTTAACCTGCTCCTCCTCCTCCTTAACCTGCTCCTCCTCCTCCTTAACCTGCTCCTCTCCCTCTTTAACCTGCTCCTCTCCCTCTTTAACCTGCTCCTCTCCCTCTTTAACCTGCTCCTCTCCCTCTTTAACCTGCTCCTCTCCCTCTTTAACCTGCTCCTCTCCCTCTTTTTTTTCCCCTCTTGTATAGCCCTAGGTCACAACAGAAGTCATCTCAGAAACTTAACAAAACCATTGAAATCACCAACACAGGTCAGAGAATCAACAGTTAGAATATAAAGAGCGCTACGTCCGCGCACTAACTTCTCTCCGGAGACTTCTCTCTCGCTCACTTCCGTCAATAGAAGCAGCGTGACTTGTAGTACACACAGTAGCAGCGAGAGAGAAGTGACTTGTAGTACGGAGAGAAGTTAGTGCGCGGACGTAGCGCTCCTCAGATTACTACGCCTCACAATATAGTACCCGTTTTATCCGCTGAGAAAATCGACAGTTATATTTCTGTGTTACTATACTTTGCAGTGTAACACGTCACGTAACTATATACATTTAATAGGGAACACTTGGAAGAGTTTGGTAGCTTCTAGCGGGAGCTACCTTTTGGGTACTATACAGTATACAGAGGAGGCTGCGGTTGTGCTCCCGTTTTTGCTCCGTTTGCATGACAGAGCGCACGGACTAAGACCAGACAGGTACATATTAACTAGTCTAAGGTAAGGTAAGAACATATGTCAGTATGTAAAAACGGTGAACTATTCCTTTAACACAGTGTCTCCCAAAGTGGGGTCCGCGGCCCCCTGGTGGGCCGCGAGGGTACTGCAGGGGGGCCGCGGGAGGTCATAAAAAAAATAAAAAAATAATATAATTATTTAATGTTAAATTTATAATGTTTTGTTTGTAATATAAAAATATTTGTGTTCATTATTTGACTTGAATAATCCACTGTAATCATTTTTGTATTACAATGTTTGTATTTTCCCCAAAATAAAATAACCAGAAGAGCCTATTCTTAATGTTGTCTTCTTGGTTATTATTTTGGGGGGCCACGCAGACTCGTCAGATTTTTAAGGGGGCCTCGGTGTTACTGAGTTTGGGAATGGCTGCTTTAACATAAATGAAGCTGATTCCACAGTAAAGGAGCTTGGAGCTAAATGCTCTGCCGCCAACAGTGATTTTTGAGACCTTAGGAACCACCAGACGTCTGGCGTTTTGTGAGCGCAACGCTCGACTTGGTTGATACGACACTAACGTGTCTTGGAGATAAGAAGGAGCCAAGCCATTTATGGCTTTATATGTTAAGAGAAGGATTTTAAACTTTATTCTGTACTCCACAGGGAGCCAGTGGAGTGATTTTAACACCGGAGTTATGTGCTCCCTCCTTTTGGTACCTGTTAAGATCCTAGCTGCTGTATTCTGAACGAGCTGGAAGCTCTTCAAAGAGGCTTTAGGGCACGCTGCCAGTAAAGCGTTACAGTAGTCGAGCCTTGAGGTGACAAACGCGTGAATAAGTTTTTCCGCATCACTTTTAGGAAGGAAATTCCTAATTTTAGCGATGTTCCGTAAGTGGAAGTACGCCGTTTTGGTTGCTTGGCTTATATAAGCCTTGAAGGAGAGTTCTTGGTCAAAAATGACTCAAAGATTCCTCACAGTGTTACTGGGTATAATACTGACATTATCGAGAGTAATTATCTGGTTAGTGAGGGAGTCACGCAGGCGCTTCGGACCGAGTAGGATCACTTCTATCTTCTCCGGGTTGAGAAGTAGGAAGTTAAGAGTCATCCACATTTTAAAGGACAACTCACCCTCAAATCCACTTTTTTTTGCTGATAAACGGTATAAATGAGTGTCCAATAGTGTTGTCTACATATCCTGGTCATAATCTTGTCACTTTGGTGCAAATTAGTTGAAAGTTAGACTTTCTGCCTAAAACCGTCTGTGAGGCGCCATTTGCTGGCAACCTGTATTACTACATTTGAATTTTGAATCTGGCGCCAACACTGGCACAGAAGTTGGACCGGACGTCTGCAGCCCCCCGCCCAGAGCAATGTAAACGGCCCAGTCTCGTTCACGCCCCCTTTAGTCCTCCAGGCTACGCCCATTTAGAGGAAGATTTGAACAGGAAATGTGAGTAACGTAAGCTCCGAGGAGCGGGGGTGAGAACCATTTTAAGGTCCTTTATGCAGGCACTGAGCTTTTCTAGCTGATCTGTCTGATTTGGCTTCATCGACAGATAAAGCTGTGTGTCATCTGCATAGCAGTGGAAATTAATTCCATGCTTTTTAATAATGTTTCCTAACGGCAGCATGTAGAGAGTGAAAAGAATCGGTCCGAGTACCGAACCCTGCGGCACACCGAATTCTACTCCAGAATAAGGCGACGAGTTCTGATTTACGTTGACGAAGTGATACCGATCTGATAAATAGGATTTAAACCAGCCAAGGGCTGTTCCTCTCAGACCTATATCACATTCTAGCCTCTGCAGTAGAATGCTGTGGTCTATTGTGTCAAATGCAGCACTAAGGTCCAGTAGGACCAGCACTGACACTTGTCCATTATCAGCAGCTAGTAGTAAGTCATTTGTGACTTTGACTAGTGCCGTTTCAGTCTATGATGAGCTCTGAATCCAGATTGAAAGACTTCAAACATATTGTTTTCCTGCAGGTGGCAGCGAAGCTGCTCAGCTATAAGTTTTTCCAGGATTTTAGATATGAAAGTGAGGTTTGAGATCGGTCTGTAGTTTGTAAGTATTTCTGGGTCCAGGTTTGTTTTCTTCAGAAGGGGTTTGATTACAGCGGTTTTAAAAGCTTGTGGGACATAGCCACATTGTATGGATGCGTTTATTATATTTACGATAGGCTCAATTATCAAAGGAAGTATGTCTTTGAAGAGCCATGTCGGGACTGCGTCTAACATGCAAGTTGAGGCTTTTGAGGATGTGACCACAGAGATCACCTCTGCTTGGCTCACAGCCATGAATTTATCGAGGCCCACTGAAGAGTCTAAGTGGGAAGTCACGTATGCCGCTTCAGCTTGTCCACTACCAACAGCAGGAGTAACCTCCTCCAGTTTGTCACGGATGGATGTCATTTTATTATTAAAGAAGTGGAGGAAGTCGACACTGCTCAGTGAGCTTGGAATTTTAGGCTCGATTGCGCTATGACAGTTTGTGAGTTTAGCGACGGTGCTAAACAAAAATCTACTGTTATTTTTATTCGCTTCTATTAAAGTTGAATAGTGTTGAGTTCGAGCACTATTGGAGTTGGTCACATCCTTTGTTAGTGTGGAGTGCTTGTGTTACTGAATCACACCAGGTCTGTTCATAGAGTTCATGTTTTTCTGACTGTGGGAGACATTTTGCATCACATGACCTTCACAATACATGTTGGAGCAGAGATACAGTACATGCAACATGTGTTTTAGCAAAGGCAGAATGTGTTTAGAGTTTTAAGAAAAAGGGGATGGGTTTTGTGAACAGTGTCTATAGCTGAATTGTGTTTATCAACGATGCGATACTTTGGTTCAAGCACATTTCACATCTGTGTGTTCGTTTGTTTCATTCATGGGTTCAGAACCCATGGTTCTGCTCAGGTTTCATTTACTGGTTCATGAAATCTATTTATCTACTGGTGATCCATCCCTCATAAGCTCCTCCCCCTGAGCTCCAGGCCCATGTCTCACAGATGTGTGTGTTGTGTAATGTGTGTGTTGTGTGATGTGTGTTGTGTGGGTGTAATGTGTTGTGTGTGCAGTGCCTTCCTTCTGGGGTCTGTTGTGTGTGTAATGTGTGTGTTGTGTGTAATGCGTGTGTGTTATGTGTGCAGTGCCGTCCTTCTGGGGTCTGTTGTGTGTCTTGTGTGTAAAGTGTGTGTGTTGTGTGTGCAGTGCCGTCCTTCTGGGGTCTGGTGAACTCGGCCTGGAACCTTTGTGCGATCGGGAAGAGACAGTCTCCCATCGACGTGGAAACGAGTCACATGATCTATGACCCGCATCTGTCGCCCATCAAGGTCCACGCCGCGGGACGCAAGGTACGGCTGTGTTTGTGCAGAACAGCACCTGTGTTTGTGGTTATGACTTTACTGTGAAGTTCCCTGTGGATAAGTTGTTCTATACAAATAAACTCAACAAAACAAAGATTCTAAAGGTCAAGGATAAGGATGGGAAAGGTTTGTTCTAAAGAAGAGAAGGAGAGAAATCTGCTTTTGCAGGATGTGTAGAGTCGTGCTCCTCCACAACAGCAGGTGGCGCTAACAGCGGTTGACAGCATTCATTTGTCGTTACAGAAAATTCTGTGATTTTTCAAAATAAAGGATCCTTTAGACTCGGTATAATAAATATGGAAATTATTTATTGGTCCGGATCAAATGTCCCACAACCCGGTACTGGCCCACGGACCAGGGGTTGTGGACACCGGCGGTTGGGGACTGGGATTTGGGAACCGGGGGTTGAGGACCGGCGGTTGGGGTCCGGGGTTTGGGGACTGGAAGTTGGGGACCGAGGTTTGGAGGCCGAGGGTTGAGGACCGGGGTTTGGGGACCGGGGGTTGAGGACCGAGGGTTGAGGGCCGGAGGTTGGGGACCGGGGGTTGGGGACCGGGGGTTGGGGACCGGGGGTTGGGGACCGGGGGTTGGGGACCGGGGGTTGGGGACCAGAGGTTGAGGGCCGGAGGTTGGGGACTGGTGGTTGGGGACTAGAGGTTGGGGACCAGAGGTTGGGGACCGGGGGTTAGGAACCAGAGGTTGGGGACCGGGGTTTGTGGACCGGAGATTGGGGACCGCGGTTTGTGGACCGAGGGTTGGGGACCACTGTTCTAAAAGATGTTATTTCTGAGATCTGTTCAAAACCAGTCTCAGTCGAAAAGCTGTTCTCATCTCATTTACATATTCTCAATTTCCTCATAAATCCCTGTGTTCCCTCGTCCTTTATATTTGATCAGTCACACCTGTCACACACTCTCCCTGAAGAACACACACACACACACTCAGACGCACACACACACACACACACACACATAAAGACACTGTTTATGGCCCGCTGCTCAGATCAAAATTAAGATTCATTTTCCTTCCACACATTTCCATCACAATTCCATGTGTCTGTGTGGGGTGTGTGTGTCTGTGTATATTTCCTTTAATAAAATGAACTCGAGCTAAAGTGCTGTTTAAAGTGCAGTGTAAAGTACAGAGTAAAGTGCAGTGTAAAGTACAGTGTAAAGTGCAGTGTAAAGTACAGTGTAAAGAACAGTGTAAAGTGCAGTGTAAAGTACAGTGTAAAGTGCAGTGTAAAGTACAGTGTAAAGTACAGTGTAAAGTGCTGTGTAAAGTGCAGTGTAAAGTACAGTGTAAAGTGTAGTGTAAAGTACAGTGTAAAGTGCAGTGTAAAGAACAGTGTAAAGTGCAGTGTAAAGTGCTGTGTAAAGTACAGAGTAAAGTGCAGTGTACAGTACAGAGTAAAGTGCAGTGTAAACTGCATTGTAAAGTTCAGTGTAAAGTGCAGTGTAAAGTAAAGTGTAAAGTGCTGTGTAAAGTACAGTGTAAAGTGCAGTGTAAAGTGCTGTGTAAAGTGCTACAGTGTTTCAGCTCCACCCCTTTCTACATCTTTGGAAAAATCTAACGATTGAGTTTTGTTCAGTTTGATTTCTTCACAACGTTTTACTTTTGGCCCAAAACCACGTCATTATTGATAGAAACCTAATAACATTCAACAGAAACAAACTGATTTAAAGCAGTTCTAAACTTTGGACAAAAACACTTCTGTTTCCTCAGTCTTTGATCAGCTCTGTCCTGGAGTCAGTTTGTACAACGAACACATTTAGAGCTGTTTAGTCCAGTTTACGTTGACTTCAAAGAGAACGATGAGAAACATAAAAAATCCTCTTTGTGTGAAGCAGGGTGTCCACACTTTTACACAGTCTGCTCCAGATCTGAGTGGTTTAAGTTTGGTTTGATGCAGAAGTTTATACTGTTTTAATCACATTTGTTCTAAAATCATCCCATGTTTCCACAGAAACTGCCTCTAAAGGAAAAAGTATAAAAGTGTTTGAATCTTTGCATTATTCACACGTGAAGGTGTTTTGACGAGTTTTTTCTGTAGATGTTTCTGACAAGAGGTAGGTTCTGGCAAACCGTCCGGCGCCTCAGGAGGGGGAAGCAGTTCTTTGCCAACACCGTGTATGGTGCGGGTGGAGGGCTGCTGACCTCGACTGGGGATATTGTCGGGCGGTGGAAGGAATACTTCGAGGGGTGTCCTGGAGCCTTCTCAGCACTGGAGCAGTGGTCAGTACTGGCTCTCATCGTGTCCACGCGCTTCCGTGTTTACACCGGCTTTCCCTGCACGTGACCGCTGGACATGCCTTCGTCCAATCACGCTGAACCCCGCGGAAACTTCACCTGTGACGTCACCTCCGTTGCATATCGGCCTGTTGAACACTAGGTCTATTACAAACAAATCCTTCTCTTTGAATGAGCTTTGTGAAAGAGAAAATGTGGATGTTTTGTGTCTATGTGAGACATGGCAGAAAGTGGATGAGTTTATTCATTTAAATGAACTCTGTCCCCCTGGATGCTCTGTCGTGGGGAAGCCCCGCCCTTCTCGTCGTGGAGGAGGCCTGGCTGTTGTCTACAAGGACAGTTGCACATGCAAAGTGTCACAGACCCAGGAATCTCCTTCATTTGAGTTCCTGATGGTAAAGGTGGGTTCTTTAAACCCATTTTACTGTGTGTCAGTCTACCGCCCCCCTGGCCCTGCTGCTGCATTTCTGAAGGATTTTAGTGACTTTTTATCCTCCATTATAAATTTGGAATCGGTTTTAATCGTTGGAGATTTTAACCTTCACATTGATGACTGCTCATGTTGCTCTGCAATGGAACTTTTAACTTTGACTGAGGCTTTTAACTTTGAGCAGCATGTTTCTGTGCCCACGCACCAAACATTTTTATTTTTATTTGTTTATTTATTTGCTCATGTCATGTCAGGCCATTACACCATTTTTTTTATTAAAATGACGTGTTCAAAATCCCTTATAAAGATGACCAGGATTCAGAAAGTTAAATTCAAAAAGGTTTATTTCCCTAATACAAAAAGAATCTAGACAGCTTGTCCGGACCAAAAAGTATCTAATCCCTATCCTCTATATAAAGTGTAACATTGGTTGGGCGCTCCACCAAGTCACACAGCTAAACCCTGATCCGGACTAAAAAAAACTAACACATTCAAGCTATTCCTTAAGTAAATGTGCAGGAAGAAGGGGCGTGTCGTATCAGGCAGCTCTCGGGTCACGGGTCCGGCCTCCATCAGGTCTCCTCCGTCTCACCAGACCTAAACAGAAATCATTCACACACACTACCCCTCCCTAATTCTATAGAATTATTACTTCCTTGAGATAAGGCAGGAGGCTCTCAAGGCTGCTATTTCTCCATATTCTGGCCTCCATCTCCTTCTCCAAACAACGGAAAGGATTAACAGAATCTAGGAATGCAGATCCCTCTTGGCCTTCCAGATTAACTATCATTAACTCATATTCTGCACTTTGGACTACAATGGGAGAAGGGGAGACCAGGTCTTTTTGCTTAGGAAAAAGACAGAGGTCAAATCAGGGTCAGTCATTGTCACATCTGTTTTTTTTAGTCTATATTTAATACAACAGTTCCCATTAGCAAATTTACAAAATAAAATCAGAAATCCCCATCATTATACCCCAACTCATCACCAGGTCACAAAACATAACAAAACAGCTCGTCTTACAGTTCACTTCAGTTGTTTTCAATTTTTTCGTAATCACTCAGAATTTTGTCTTTGTACATTTTTTTGAATTTGTAAACACTTGTACAACATTTAAATTCCACACTTAAAGAATTCCACAATTTGACTCCATAAACAGACGGACATTTCCGTTTCACCAATGTTCCTGCAAACATGTTCCGAAAATTATATTTTCTTCTATGGGAAGCGTCATGTGCAACAAAATTACTTTGAACATCATTTGGCATTTTTTTTTGTTTAGCTTTCCACATAATAATCAACATTTTTAAGTCGACGAGATCCTTAAATTTAAGAAGTGTATTTTCAATAAATAAAGGATTAGTGTGCTCTCTATAACCTTTCTTACTGATGATTCTAATTGCTCTTTTTGCAGCAGGAACAAGGGCTTGGTGGTACAAGTATATGTGTTACCCCAGACCTCAGCACAATAACTGAGATATGGGAGAGTCATTGAGGAATAAAGCATCCTCAACAATCTACAATCAAACAAATCTCTAACTTCATATAAAATGCCAATACTTTTGCTAACCTTTCTTTTTACATACTCAATATGAGCTTTCCACTTTAATTTTTCGTCTAAAACAACACCTAGAAACTTAACTTCCTTGACTCTTGTTATACCGACTCCATCAATTGTAATTTTCACATTATAAATTTTGCTATGTTTACTGAAAATCATATAGTTTGTTTTATCCCAATTTAAAGATAACTTATTTTCGTTAAACCAATTTCTCACTTTTAACATTTCTTCTTCAATTCTTTCCAATAGCTCCAACAAATCACTTCCTGATTGAAATATACTGGTGTCATCAGCGAACAACAAAAAATGTAACCTGTTTGTTGAGTCACAAATGTCATTAATAAACAAAATAAAAAGCAATGGCCCTAAAACAGGCCCTTGCGGAACACCACATATGACCTCTCTCCATTCAGAATCTAACCCGTTGATATGTACATACTGCTTACGGTTTGTAATATAACTTTGAAGCCACTGATGTGTAATACCCCTAATTCCATAGTTGGAAGATTTTGACAGTAACAAATCATGATTTATGGTGTCAAATGCTTTGCGTAGGTCAATAAACACACCTACAGTGTACTCTTTTCTTTCAATTGCAGCTGTAATATTTTCCACCAGTGCAGAGAGCGCTAGGCTTGTGGATCTTTGTGATCGGAATCCATACTGTTTGTCAGAGAGTAATTTATGTTTGTCTAAAAAGTTTGTTAATTTTTGAGCAAACCATTTCTCAAGGACTTTAGAAAACTGTGAGAGCAGCGACACTGGTCTGTAATTGCTAAATAGGTGCTTGTCTCCATCTTTAAACAGCGGAATTACTTTAGCAACTTTCATTTGTTCAGGAAAAACACCAGTTTGTATGGACAGATTACAAATGAAAGTCAGTGGTTTAACAATGCAGTCAATAGTTCTTTTAATAATTGTCATGTCTAGTCCATCACTGTCTGTGGAGGTTTTATTTTTACATTTATTTACAATAGATAAGATGTCATATTCACTGATCTCTTCAACAAACAGGGACTGAATGATTCTGCTTCCCAATTTGAACGTTTTATTTCCGTTAGTTGCATTCATAGTGTTCGCAATATTGGCTCCAATATTTGTAAAAAAACAAATTAAATTAATTGGCAATACTTTTGCTGTTGTTGTGCACAACATCCTTCTCAATGAAATGATCTGGTATCTTTTCTTGTCTAGAGTTTGGTCTTATTACTTTATTTAGTACATTCCATGTTGCTTTCATGTTTCCATGATTTTCTCTCAGTTTTCTATTATAATAGTCCTTCTCTGCATTTCTTATAATGCCCGTTAATTTATTTTTATATGTTTTGTATTTGATCTCACTATCTGAGGTCCGTTTTTTAAAATAGTTTTTATACAGTTTGTTTTTCTTTTGGCATGCTCTTATTATTCCTTTAGTAAACCAAGGTTTTTCCCTTTTAAAGATTTTT